TGCAGGAACTTTACAAACAGTCACTTTTCATGCATTTCTCTTGTTAGTTTTTCTGTTGAAGTTTCGTTTATCAAACCAATGAATAAGCATTACCCAAATGCACATTTCTCAATGTCGTATAAGAAGTAGAAGAGATTTTATTTGAAAATACCTAATGCCAATCAAAATGTTGGATTATTTAGTGGCTATTTTTTTCCAAAGGAAAAGAATGATAGTAAAATTTAACAGATTCACTTAAACTATATTACATAATAGGTTCCAAATCCCCCGAATTGTTTCTACTGATGATTGCAAAGTTAGAATTCGATCGCAAAACTAAATTATTTGTTTTTGTTAGCTGTAAATAATCTTGCACACAAGAGTTTCTTGTAGAGAAATGTTTGTCACAGAGATGAATTTTTATAATTTAATACACTTATACTACCAGCTAGAATTCTAAATTCACTTTAGACATACTGTTTCTCATGTGTTATTAAACGCTTCAAATATCATGCTACAGAGCTTTCTTAATTTTTGTATCTATATAGTGATGACTAAATAATAAAACCGTTTCAAACACTGCTTTTGCAATGAAAAAGCAAATTATTTTAGCTGCTTGTCACATGCTGCATTTTCAACAGGCTTAAATAACTAAGGTAGTTAGTTAGTTAGTTAGTTAGTTATGCTTATAAGTGCATACAATTCTATCTGAATTGATTAGAGTCAGGTGGTTGAACTGTAAGGCTAAACACATTAAAATACACTTAATTTTAATTTTAGGTGAATTAATAATTTGAATATTGATAGAAGATTAGCGTTTATGTTCCACAAATATTAATAGACTTATTGATTGGTTGATTGATTGATTGATTAAAAAAAGATTGCGAATTTCTTGACTACTTACGAAATCCTAAGAATTGATATTAGTCACACACACTAAAAAGTAAAAGAGTTGCTTTATCGTTAGATTATTAGAACACATAGAAATGATACAGTCTTACATTATTTTCTGTGAACTTTAACTCAAACATAAGTCATGTTTTTATTGCTGTTAAATGAATCCTAGTATCTGATTATTTTCTCAGCTAAATATTTCCTTATGCAATGGCTAAAAAACCTTTGTAACTCACTTGAAAAAGCTTTTGAGTTTATTTAATCTATTATTTCGACTCTGTAGAAGGAACATTTATTCAGAGTCACATAAATCCGAGTAATATGCGCTAAAATATGATGAACACTAGTCCCACCTTCTTGTAGTCGAAAATCCGGCAGGTGTATTAATAAAGCAGAATTTAGAAGAGTCAGGAATTCAGCCATTCAAGATAATTTGAAGTGTGACTAGCAGAATTTTTTAAATAGATTTTCAAACAGCTCGCCAATCTCAGTTTGCACTAAAAACTGATGCTATGTGCGGAAAAATTTGAGACTAGATGGAGAAGACGCACCTTGTTCACAAAATATGTACACATTGTCTACAAACATCCATTTGTAATACAATCAGGTTATTGACTGTCTTCTCTCACATCTCTTCTGATCTTCAATATACTCTGATCTCATCAGGCGTTTCAACTTCCTGCCACTCCCTTCTCTAGTAGCGTTTTCTGAGTGGGGTTCCTCTGCTTACTACTTATAAATTACTTTGTGAGTAAGGCCCATCACACTAGTGAGTACTGCTTCATTTCTATTTAAAATTTATAATCCTTATTAGTGAGTTTCCATAATAAATCTCCATATAAACGTGACTAAAAGGTGTATTCATAATAAAAGTCAACTGTGAATATAACTACTGGTTTGTAACAGAATGGAAAATAATCAACTTGATGAAACGTTTCGTCAAATTTTAATATGATAGGAAATCAGTGACTGAAAATAAGGCTTGTTATTTGAAAAATGAATCTACCAATTCGCAATGGTCTTACAAGCTAACAAGTGTACCAGAATGATTCAAATGTACGGATAAATCGATAAGCACATAATTCAGTAACGAATTTACAAGGCTTCATTTTAACACACCACATATAAATAAATTTGAAAGTCTTACTCAGGAGACATCTAGTCAGCTTTCTGCAATGTTAGACTATAAGATTTGCGTGATAATCTTTATCGATGATGAAATTACATTCTTAAATCATGAAAGTTTCATATTCTTTTAGTAAATTCATAGGTTAGCTTCATAAATTTACTACTGCATTATATCTGTTGTCACAGTTTAAAACAAATGGAAAGTTCAGTCTCAAAAAAATAACTAAACTTTAATTTATGTACTGATATCAACTGGAACCCAAGGAGCAAGTTAACAGCTGTTTCATAAAAAGTCTAAAGCTCATCAATATAATCTTGGTTTGTGGAATATAGATTGATTAGCGCAAATGGTCGTCTTTACTTGACACTTGCCCCACTAGTTAACTGCAATGCAGTAGGATTTTCCAGACTGATTTCAATGGATTTTATTATTTGCAGTTAAATTCACAATTCGTGTTCGTTTTGGTGAACGAGTAACTCAGTGAAGAAAAAACATAATTTTATAATTTAGGTAATTTAGTATTTGTGTGAATGGAAAGTTTACGACCCAATACTAAATTGAATGACATAAAGAGTTTCAAGTAGATTAAGAAACTTAAAATAACTTGCTTAACCTTAATTACACCTTCAATAACACACATTTCTATAAGATGCTAAAAATAATGTCGTCAAAATTTTGAACAAAATCGCAGACATCTCTTTCAAAGCAAACTTTAAAATAACTCATATTACTTACGGAACGAAACTCATAAACATTTCGATCTGTCACTTTTGGGTTAATTCTGTAGAAATTTCTAAATTCATTGTTCAGAGTTTAATCCTCGATGAGATTCGTGTGTTGATCAAAACTGTTATCTTTTTGTCAAATTATCATCAATCATTTAGTTCATTAGAATGTTTAACATTTAGTTTTGACCCACGTCATATTAATTTTGCCCAATTCAGTCGATTAAATAATAAAAACGGTGTTATTCAGAATAAGTTCACACTGGATGCTCTTTGTTTTCATGTCAGTTACTTGAGGACAATCGATAGGTGTCCCTAAGTTTCTCTCTTGGTGACTCGCTTTGCAGAGGTCTTTTAGTGATATTAAGAAAACTTACATTTAACGAAATCATATTTCAATTTGTTTGAAAGTATTTGATCATTGCTACAAACTTGAAAAATATGTTCTTAGCTACTGACCAGTGATCAGCTAATTGAAGATCGAGCAGTTCAGTGGTAACACCTCAGATTCTGAAACTAGACAAATCCGACTTTAGTAGCATTTTAAGTGCAACCTTCATGATGTATGCCTTCTTCATGAACTACAGCTGATAAGCGACTCGGTTTTGTGCGATCTTGCTGACCCTCTCCAACTGCATACCATTGAAATGAACTGCATGTGTAGTTGAGCCACTTGAGCTGGCGGCTGGCCGCATTACAACTTGATCGATAACATTTCATCAACTCTGAAAACTGGAAAAACATAACAGATCTTTATTAAACGGTCGATCAGTGTATGTAAAATCATGTCAGTCCTACAGGCGGCAGTCGTCCAAATAAATAAATTGTCAGTAACATATTTTATTGTGATACCGGATGAGATGAATAATACACACGCCGCAGAAAATTTCAGTTTGCTCAAAATTTCAGAAACGCATTCTTCTTACAAAAACTCTTCATTAGTTACCAGACAGCAGTCCTAAAATAAACAGTTTATATGCAGTCAAGTGGAACTGTAGAACTTCTAATCGGTTTCTAGACATATTAGTTGTTAATATTGCACAAGTATCCTTTGTACCATTTAAACTTGGGTTGATTCAATTCGTTTATTTATTTTCGGAAGAAGTGGCTTTCACCGAGTAAAGAAGTGTCAGAATAATTTTACCTTTTCTGCATACTGAAAAAATATTATTTTTATTATTAACAGTTCACTTAGTGCTCAATTTATTTGAAATTGTCAAGTCGAACCTTAGGAATGATCCCCGTAATTGTCCACACGGTTTTAGTCTTTTATATTTGAACGTCCATTCAGGTTCATTCAGCTCTCACAGAGCCCTTTACTAAGGACGCATATGGTTGGTTTAATAAAAAGGATATTAAAATACACAAAGTCTAGTTGATTTGTTGACAAGTTTTTTTGTTTTATTCTCGTGTGAAGTGATTGATATGAATAGATGAACATGTTTGTTAAGTCTGATCAATGTTAACGATAAGAAAACCAACGTGATGCTGGAAAAAAATCTAGAGGCTTAGTTAATGTAATAGGCTACATCTGTGTTATGCATTCATCTACTGTACAAAATTTCTACATAATGCACAGTCAGTATTCTTCGTCTCAAAAGTTTCAATTTTAAACTTGATCCTATGCAGAAATGATTTTATTTTGATCGTCTTGTGTGTAATTTACACAGCTGACTCGATAGTAAAATGCCATACATCCTGAGATTATTTCCTGGCAATATCGATCAGTCAGCCTACAAACTACTCTGTCAAACGGCTATGCAAACCGTTGTCATGAAAATCTAGTTTCTACAAAATTAAGAACGTATCAATCTTATTCGCTTTAGAATAGTCACTACACGAATGAATGAACATATTTCCTATTGACATTTTTCTGCTTTACAAATTTTTGTAAATTCTCAGGCTTCTTAGCAGTAATATCATCCTCGGCCTTACCCTTCCACTCAATATCCTACTTATGAACACCTTTCGTTATTACATGAATTTCTTCAACCAATACTGGATGCATATCTATCATTCTGTATTGATTTTAAGTGTTTTTATATTGGTTTATTCAGGAAATGGCATTGTTAATCTGAACATCAAATCACCTCTTTTACATTGAATGCAATCAAATCCTCTGACCTATCAACATATGCTATTTACAATGTGATGTTTCAACATACTGATGTATATAATTGATTGTAAGTATAAACACTTTCATATGATATAGGAACATTATTTAGCACGTCTAATTGAAATCATTCACCTTTTGTTCATTTTTTTATTTGTAGAGAAGATAATAAACTTACAAAAAACCAAAAAATACACGACTTACACCGCAAAAATAAAAATGTTCGAAGAATTAAGTATTGGTGATTTAAGTGATATATACACTGATAATAATACACGAAAGTGGCCTTCATCCAATGATCGGAATAGAATATCAGGTTACCGCGAAAGTTATTGTTCTGATGTGGATTTATTGCCTTCACTGTGTACAAAAGTGACAGTCGATATTCATCCAGATTATCGTGATAATAGTGAGTATATTCAGAAACATTGTAAACAATCGCGAAATACTAATGGAGTTAAAACTAAGGCAGCCAACAATACTAGTGGCAATGACAATAGGAGTGATGATGATGATGCTGATACTGATGCTGATGATGACGGCGGTGAAAACCTTATGAGCTGGTTATTGAAACAGTTTCGAGAAAATGGTTTAGATTACAATGAAAATAACTTAAAAAATGATCATTTCGATAAGATTGATGAATTCAACTATGTGGAGCGATTAAATCATCATCGAACATCAACTGTACCGAATAATCTACAATTAGATGATTCGAATTCATCCATTTCAAGTTATCAAGCTACGGTTGATTTAAATAAATTAAATACACGAAACGAACACTTGTTGAATAATAATAATAATAGTAATAATCATAACCAAACTAATAATTCCAGTAGAGAATATTATTGGAATAAACAATATCATCATTTTCCTCGTATGTATCCACCTGTCAGGGATTCATCGCTCGAGTCCAGGAAGTTGTGTGGTGAGAATAAATCACTTAATTCCACAATGGTCACTACGCCTACAACCGCAACAGCAAACAGAGCTATGGAATCAATGAATTCGACTATGCAGAGAACAATAAACGATACAAAACACCAATGTAAACTTATCAATAGTTTATTTCATCAAATAACTAAAAAATTGGTAAGCAGTTTGTGAGAACGTATAGATTGAATATTTTTTTTATGGAAAAATGGAAGTTGATAGTAGCTATTGTTAAATTGTTTTCCTTCTTGATTGAGAGGTTTATGAAGATCCTTTTAGACTGAAGTTGTTGGATTTCATTGAAAACTCATGTCTGCTGAGTAACCATTGAAAATCAAGAAACCCTAATCTGATGTGACATCTCAGTTCGCATTGATTACGCTACCAGAGGGAGAGTCGAGAATATTCTAGTCTCACCACGAATTTCATATTTTAAACCAAAATCAGATTCTATTGGCAACATCAACCAATAACTAGTGTAGCTTGAAACAATCCAGTTACATCGGTGTTATTGAATCAGCCATTTCTTTGTTTATAAGTAAGACAGCGTAATGCCGAATTTCAGTTCTCGTTACCACTGATATAGGACAAATGAGACATAGGAAAATGGGATAATTGCAAGAAATTGATCTGTCTTTAGTTTTTCTTGGTTTTAATTCACCTGATGATTCAAGTTTTGTTGCAGATTTTGGTAATGTAAACTTAAAAAAACTTTAGAATAAATACTATTTCTTGTGTATGAATTTAGGATTTTAGGCAGAATAAGGTCATTTCCAGTTCGTCTTTATGTTATTATTCGATTCCGAATTAAGTATTAATGGAAGACCATTTCCCATCAAACTACTGATGACAAGCATGACGTAACCTGTTTACTAATTGAGCATTGGTATATTGCATTCTAAGTTAGAACTTTTTATAAAAACTAGTGAAACAAACCAGGCGCCTAAATGGAAAGAGATGGATTAATGTTGAACATATGATCAACTGGTTTGGTTGACTGGGTCCTTTGACCGTACCATACTGAGACTAGGCCTTAAAATTTCAGATAGTTATCAGTTGACTAAAGTGTCTAATGGGTTTTAATAGTAGAGTAAATCAAATGTGCATATATCGTTAAGACACATATTTGTTTCTTATATAAGTTGTAATTGCCTGATCTCTTTACATTCCATATGTTCTTATGACTTGAGTATTTCTTTGATACTTATATAACGATAAGTAGAGCAATAGAATTACAATTTTAATGATACACAAACAAACTCCATGAATTCTAGGTAACAACAAGTGAATACAAATATTTTCTGTTTAACTATTAATAAATAAAGAGTCATCGGCAAATTTTAGTTCATCTTAGATAATATACACTAGTGTTTGTCTGTGAAGTTCATTACCGATATATTATGTTAAAATGATTTCTTGAACAGCATCTTCATGTGCAGTTACTTACATCAGTGTCCTCCCTCCTTATGAACTAGGAATCGGAATTCTGAACAATGCTAACCCTATTCTAGATTAGACATTCCATGATATACATTGGTGTTAAACAGTTTCGTTTTTGTATCATCACCAGGTCAGGGAAATAAAAAGTCCATATCACTCAAAAGATGGATCACATATCTTTTGGTCTTTGTTGGAGACTACTAGTATAACAGTATGGCTTCAGCCTTTGATATTCACTCCCTGAGATGAGTTTCAAATTTTTAGACTGATAATAAATAAACGAAAGATGAATCTTTGTAATTCTGGTGATGATATAATCAATGAGATTTAGTCGTGATGTACGTTGGGTAGTTGTTAGACTGATGGAATATCATAATCAAACTTTCAAATGAATAAAGCTTACAACTCACACCAGTGAATTTGTTTTCGGTTATAATATACTTTAGTCTATTCGACACTTGGAGGTTTATCACTTTATGCCTACTGGGGTGACTGAAAAGTGCTTTAGAGGAGTGGCTGACTTGAACACAACAACTATAGTTGGATTTTCAGTTTATATCAGTCTGTGACTAAAAGCATATTCATTAGCTAATTTGACAGATAACGTAAGCAAAAATTAGTATGCAGAAGGTTCTTATATTTACACCTTGAACAGAAGTGAGGTATTTTGAATAGTTACAAATGTTCAATGAAAAAACTGTGATAAATGCGTGATAGTTTTTTTTTTGTTTTCAAACAAATAAATCGTTTTTTATGAATGACAGGATGAATCATTGAAAATAGTTGCATCTTTTTTGGACAAGTCAACCTTTTTCCTACAAACATTTGTCGCTGCCTAAAGTGATGTAACTGTTTCTACTTGCACATGTTGGTCGATCAATATCTTATTTGCGGTGGTGATAAAGAAACATGAATTTGTTTTTGACCTACATATTCCCAGATTTCTGTTTAATTACTTAACAAAACCATCATGAGCACTTTAATACATTATTTCCGTAATAATTTTCAAATCAGTTTATTTACGAGTTCTAACGCTACAAATCATCAAAAAGATTATTTTATTCTTCCTTTTATTTGATTTGCACTGGTTTTATGAAAATGAAGTTTGGTAATTATACCAATCTGGTATCGTTCACGTTGTCCAATTGCTTACTCTAATTTCAGAATCTTTCCCAAGCCCTAAAATAAACATTTGCATATATATTGTGTCATAACAATGTCTTGTGGATTAGAACTATTCACCATTGTTGAGCAAATCTGTATAAATATTAACAAACGTGTATACATTAACAATTTTGCTAAGACAACAGTCTGAAGTATGCAGAAAGTAGAATTATTATACCAGAGTAAATTTGCATAAAAACTTACATCCTATATACTTCTACATGTGAAATAAATTGCCATTATTGGATCATCAGAGTGATAACATTCTCTACTTTATGTTTGGACTTTACTTATCATATCCCGTTAAAACTATAAGGAATTTCCTTATAGCCTTCTTAAACACAAACACGCTGTGGTGTGAGCTACTTATAAGTAGTATATGACGTGAGTGGAAACGTAATGTCTGGCAGTAGAACAGGGGGAGAGATCAAGAAAGGAAGAGTTAGAACACAATGGAATTTGTATGAAACGCATGAATAGTGACAATGGATTGATGTTTGGTAACAGGAACAGTCCAGTTCGATATGATGAACTGATATTTTGCAAATTAACGATCTACTATATGGTTTTCCTATTTTAATGAGTAACTCTGTAATTTTCGTTTATGTATGTATATACATATACTTTTGCTTAAGAAGTTTAGTTACAATAAGAAATATCCTGAAACGTAGTAACCGTACTTCAGCTAAAGCTTCCAGTCCAATTATTTTTCAATGAAAAGTGTTTTAAATACGAAGTCACTAACTAATACAACCCTAATCTTAATGTGTTAATCCTTCTTTTTAAATAAGTGACATTAAAATCAAATTATAAAAATTTCAAAATAAAATTTGAACTAGTTTCCAGTTAGTAGTGAATAATGATAAAAAGATAGTTGTGTACTTACTGATTTCAACAAATTTATTTTAAAAAAAATTCTTAAGATTGAAGAAGAGGGTAAAATGTAGAAAACAGATTTACTTCAAATCATATTAATATGGAATAAACATAATCAAGTTTTTCTTGATTATTATTATTATTAGAGTAAATTAGACAAACAGCAATTTTTGATTAAGAAAAGGCATCGAAACAAAACAATTGACAGATGGAATGTACTTTTTAGGCAAAATTGTTTTAACTTACATAGTGTGTTTTATTTTAAGATGATAAGAAGTGTAATTGTTTATCACTAATCTTTGCATATCCTTTCGACTAACTAATAATTCAAAAGCAGATCATTGAGAGAGAGAGAGTGAGATAAAACGCACAACCTAAATCATGTCGAATTTTAGATATAATGGGACTGGTAACGACAGACAAGGCACACATAAACTTAGTTATTACGTACAAGTGTGCATACTAGTCTTCAGGCTGTATACTCTTTTTGTGAGAGCTACCGTTTGTAGTAAGCATGTGTAGACTTTGACAGGGAGGGAGAACGACGAAAATTCACATTAAATTAGTTGAAAGTTATCATTGAAAAATTACTCTAATACTATTTCGTTTTACTGATTGATTGTTTTATTTACTGCTTACATTATAAAGTTTGTACATGTAAGCCTTGCGGTTAATGCCAGTAGTAACAAATGAATTAACGTTAAAAATGTTTTCTGAATAATAACTAGCGAATGATAAATCAAGTGAGTTGAAAATATTTACAGCTTGAAGTAAAGCAACTTATTTTATCTAGTTTAAAAATCATGATAATTCTAAGGAGTTATATTTACGACTCTAAATACTGAAAGGATCAATCCAACAACCTATAACTATCTTGAATAACTGCAACTGTTCTAGTTACAAAATAACATCATTCAGACAGTCAGGAGTACTGAATGGTTACTTCGATTCTGTATCAGATTTTATGATTTCCTAATGATTATCACAACAAGGAAATGAACCCATAACCTAGGGGGGGGGTTAATGTTCGAATTTTGTCTTGAATAACTTTCAGTAACTGAATCAAATCCACCTCAGATCAGTTGCCAATGCATATACCATTATTATAATTATCCAATGTAGTAATGGATTACAGTTTATTAGTCTTTAAGCACCATTCTTTTTACTAGACTTAAAAATCATGGTGACAAATTAGTGTAAACCTGTATTTCTGTAATGCTATAGAGTTTCAACCTAGCTGTTCAGTGATACATAGTTTTCACAACGCATGCCAATTAGTAATATTAACTGTACAAAGCTTTGAATTAGAAATTTCAATAGATAAGCTACTTACTAATCTTCTAAACTCACTGATCTCACTTTCTCAAATATACACTTGATTTTACTCAACAATGCATCTTTTTATATTGTTATTTTTAAAATGTACACAAATATAATCAGCTTGTTTGATCTTAAGATGCCGAATTGTGATGAAGCATTCCTCCATCAGTGCAACTACGATTAATATATATCTGAGTTCAACTCTTCTGAGATTAAACAAGCAACTGGAAGTTTTCTTATATAAAACGCGCTCACGTGAGACATAAGCTCTTCCGAATAGAGGTATAAATATACACTTCACAGTTCGTATAACTTGAGCTTTTTTTTAACTGTACATTCAATTCGATACATATGTATTAAAACATCATATACAGGGAGTTCTACCTTCGCTGAAACTTGTTTATCTGTGGAAGATATACTGCTGAATACAAATCTATAGCTCATAATGTAATAAAATTTATGATCAGTAGAAAAAGTGAAAGCATAGTATGAAACAGTAGAAGAATTTATTTGGGAATGATTACAAATATACACAGTGGTGTGCACTGTACAAGGAGAGAAGTTAATAAATCTCAGACGAATGCTTTCATTTCAACAGCAGTCAGGGCTAATTCGAATATGTTAAGCCTTAATCAAAAACCAGAATCTGAATTTTCCATCTCCAGCACAGGTAACCATTCAAATTGTCCAGTTACGTTTAACAGAGATGGAAAAAGTACAAATCACATGTTTTTAACTATATGTAACAATTCTCTTGTAGGTCAAACATGTTTATTTACCAAGTGAATAATGAACTTTGATTTTTATTGAAGTATTGATAATGAAAACATAATTTTATCTCCTAACAGCTAACTTAATAAATAAATCAACCTTTGAATTATAGGCGTTAAAAATTAGTAAAAGTGAATACACAACATATGTATTAGTCACTGTTTACCAACTGGTAATCAATACCGTGAATTAGTTTGTAAGCCTACTACTACTACTACTACTACTACTACTACTACTATTACTACTACTACTACTATTACTACTACTACTACTATTACTACTACTACTACTACTACTACTACTACTACCTAAGAGCTCTGTTTTCCAATTATATATGAGTTATTTTGTGAGCTTTTCTGAAGAGTCCTGCCTTCACTAAAGTTGGTCTGCGAAAATTTGATTATCGTAGTGTCACTGATATATGAATTATTATTTCTGGTTAGCGTTTTTTTGGCAAGTGAGATTTCGACGGAATGGGGTCGCCAACCCCATCTCCAACCCTCCTCCTTTACCCGGGCTTGGGACCGGCAGTAGCCCCTAAGGTTCTACTGGCGACCAGTGTAGCAGCAGCCTCTGCAGCAGTAGGTCTCAACATACATAAAGGAAAAAGCAAAATTCTCCGATGCAACACAACATGCACCAACCAAATCAATCTTGATGAAGATGCCTTGGAGGAAGTTAACACCTTTACGTATCTGGGCAGCATCATCGACGAGAAAAGTGGATCGGATGCAGATGTGAGGTCGCGGATTGGCAAAGCAAGGGATGCATTTCTACAGTTGAAAAATATCTGGAACTCCAAACAACTTTCAACCAAAATCAGAATTTTCAATACAAATGTCAAGACAGTTCTACTGTGTGGAGTGGAAACGTGTAGAACTACGAAAGCCATCATCCAGAAGACACAAGTACTCATGAACAGTTGTCTACACAAAATACTTTGGATTCGTTGGCCAGACTAGATCAGCAACAACTTACTGTGGGAGAGGACAAGTCAGATTCCAGTGGAAGAGGAAATCAGGAAGAAGCGGTGGAAGTGGATTGGACACACACTACGAAAAGCATGTAACTGCGTCACGAGACAAGCCCTCACATGGAACCCTGAAGGCAAAAGGAAAAGAGGAAGGCCAAGGAACACACTACGCCGAGAAATAGAGAAAGATATGAGAGGAATGAACAAAAATTGGACAGAACTGGAAAAGGAAGCCCAGGACAGATTTGGTTGGAGAAAACTGGTTGGCGGCCTATGCTCCATTGGGGGTAACAGGCGTAAGTAAAGTAAAAAGTAAGTAAGTACTGATATATGAAAGTACGGATTTAATGAGTTTAGGTAAACCGAAATTTGTAAACCAGGTAAGAAGTTTATTTTTTTTAAGCAATGGAAAACAGAAAGACATCAGTGACCACACAAAGTAATCAGCATGCTAGTGTCTGTTGTTGATTACTAAGGTATTTTCATGTGATAAAAAAAGAATTTGCCTCCAACTTCCGTCTTCTCGTTTCACATTTATGCGGGGATATGATCACCTAAATGATGTGCATTAGTTATCGATTCATGTAGTCATTGTTAGATCAGTTATTGTATTCGATGTATCCTTCATCGTCTTGATAGTGGATCAGAAGTTATATAACCTGAAAAAGTATTTAGACATGCCGTGTAGTCAATTCGATTTATTGATTTTCATAACTATAAAGAATAATAATAATGAGCACTGTCTTCATTAAACTCAATTTCAGACTGGTTTACATGAATTCGATAAGCAAGTAATTAATGAACTGCAAAATGCTAGCCGAATCATAAATGATTTACAAAAAGCAGTCAAATACTCTGAATCTTCCCTACTGAATTCTTTGAATTATCAACTGAATCATCATTTTTGTCGACCTAAAATATTCAAATCAGAATTTAATAAAACTACAGATAGTTTACGAAAGAAAACTGGAGTGAAACATTTTCCTAAAAAGAATATTCATAATCTGGACGAAAATTTTGACAGACCAATTACAGATGAACAACATTCACATTCTGTATATAATTCAGAATTGGATTGCCAATCCCCTGTAGAAAAGGTTAGTTAGTCAATCTACATTCTATTAAATTTTTTAAGATCAAGTGTAACAGTTTTATGAAAATTTTTGTTGATTATTCTAATGGTTAGTATCAAGCATTACATCAAGCCAGTTGAAAGTTTCGACCATAGATAGTTGTTTGATCAGAAATTCTTCGAAAGCTTTAGATGTTTTTACACTAGGAATTATAAGTCCATTGAACACAAAATTATTTGTTTTCACTTTCGTTGGCTGTTCATTAAATTTGCTTACGTCATTACATTAGCCATTTTCATTTTTCAATTCGTTTTATCAATGTCAAATAAACAGAAGCAAATTGTACAAAAGTAAGAACCAATTACCTGTTAACAAATTACAATTTTCCGATTCGTTTGATGCATTCACTGAGTAGTTGACAATTCTCATAATGACGCAAGTTCAAATTTAGTAATTCGTCTTAGCTCTGAACTCACGATCTAATGAAGGGTCTTTAAGTCTAGCGGTGATCGTGTTAGCTTTGGACTAACGAGACTGAAATCCAGGGTTCTAGATTTTCAACATTTCAAGAATGAGTATACTAATTATCCAGTTCTAGCAATGATATGTAATCACTTCCAACATAATGAATTCTGCTAGTTATTAATTTTTAATAGTTTCTGTAAGCTTTAACTAGTAACGCCCATGTGATCACGTTTTAGAAGGCTACGCTGCAAGGATTGCTTTGTCGGAAAAGGGGTTCCAGTCCATTATCTTCCAAAGTTCTATGTTACTACAAGCGAGAACAGATCTAGAAAGAAACTGTAACTCATTCTGATGTGTTAGTGATCACCACTTCTTTAAAAACGAATATAAAATTAACTTTATATATCGAATTTCGGCAAACATTTCAATGAATTACATGAAACAACTGCTCAATAACTTACTACGTTTCTGACTTAAAAACGACATTACTAAACTCGATATATTCTTAAATTTAACCATATTACAATGTAGAAATATGTGAGTTCACTAATATGCCTAATTCTAAAGGTCTTCATCATGAAGGTTGTCAGATTGCTAAATGGCCATGTCTATTTTACAATTCACTAGTCCATTAACCTAGTCTAAAGTAATACAAAACTTAAAAACGCTTGGTCATTGTCGTCTACAGAGGTAATCAAAATTATACTGTCTTTGTGGTGCGAGCTACTTATAAGTAGTATATGACGTGAGCGGAAACGTAATGTCTGGTAGCAGAAGATGGGGGAAGATCAAGAAAGGAAGAGTTACAACACAATGGAATTTGTATGAAACGCATGAATAGTGACAATGGATTGATGTTTTGCAACAGGAACAGTCCAGTTCGATATGATGAACTGATATTTTGCAAATGAACGATTTACGATATGGTTTTCCTATTTTAATGAGTAACTCTGTAATTTTCGTTAATACAATTCGGTTGCCCCACCAGTGTTCTCGTTCGCTATAGTCTTTACAAATAGTAGACAAAAATGATACGCATTACCGTGTTTCGTGTTATTTCGAATTCGTCTATTGAATATGCCTATGTGATGGATGCTACTTACGAGTTCGCAAGTAGTATGTAGCTATGCGTCTTGTGGAGATAGCTATAACTGAAGGCAATAGTTCCAGTGGGTCAAAAGCTAGACATGTTTGAAATGCGTTTGAGACTGGACGAAAGAATATATTCGAAAACCAACTTTGGTTGCAGAACATACAAGAAAAAAGCAAATACATAATTGAAGACTAGATCGAATACCACCGTGGAGATGTTTAACAGCTAATTGCTAAAGAGGCGTGTTGTAAAGGATTGAGTTCGACGAAAGTTACTCATAGTTCTGAACACTTGGTTCATGCAAAAGATGATACCTTATAATAACAATATACGTGGGCACTTCTAAACGATATGTTTACTTACTGATATGTAACGCGTTATTCATGTCTTCATGTTTGTGTATCCGATATAAACATATATGTCAAGCGTGGCAGATGGTATTTTTCACTTTTGTATGTTCTTTCTTCTAAAAGTAACAAACTTAAAGAAACTGAATACAATGAATGCTTGACATAATATGAACAACTAAATTCAACACAGTTTACTTAAGTATATAAATAATAAAATATCTTTTTTGCAGATGCGAAATTTGAAAGCATTTTATCAGTAGTATTGTTATTAGTAGTAGTTTTATGAGTGTCAGTTCATGTTTGATAAAATAATCAGAAATTTATTGGGTTCAAAGTGTTTCGAATAAGAGTTTGATATGTATTGGCTTCCACTGGTAATCACATACCACTATCAAATGTAAAGCAAGACTTATGGTGTACATAATGATTACTTGTGCTGTTCCATTGTTTCTTGTTAGATCTTAGAAAAAAATAATAATTCCGTATAATATATTATTTGCAATGTAGATGATTCTTCGCTCCGCATGTATAACTCTTAAAGTCGTTTTTCTAAATATTTTTACCGATAATAATCCAACATACAACGAAATAATCTAATGTTCAGATGCAAAAAAACAAGATTAATCGGTGTCATCTTCATACTTTTAAACTATCAAAGTCTCTACAGCGATGTAGTTGCAAACAACATTTTACTTTACGTTTAGATTTAAATAAATCGGTTCATCTCGATTCCATATAGTGCAAATGATTGTTAGTATGAACGGTATTTTCGGGCAGTACAAATGTTTACTTTGTTGAATATATTCAGATTTAAGATTCAATGGACTATGTTTGAGTTACAGCCATTATAACCCATATTCCCTCCATAGATCTATTTATTAGAACAAGTTCTTCCTCCTTTTCATCAGTAAATCATGTAGCATTGGTCATCTAAGCCTAGTACACAGCTCTAATTTAAACATGAAGTGACTTTTATCTTTAGATACAATTGATATTAGTGACTATATATCAGTGTACTACTATTCAGGTATTTGTATACTATTCCATTAAGGTTAATAGAATTGAATGTTAAAAATGCAAGCAAATGTACTTTGGTTAACAATTATTGTGCTTTACTAATGGTAGCTGTATTGATTGACATATTTTTGGAACAGGTGAAAGTCATAAAATGATTACCATATTAATTAAAGCTCCATTCATATGGTAGACGTTAATAAACTGATTTAATTCCAGTTAAATAAGTCAATTTATCACTATCATCTGTTCGTAAACAAAGCTTTTGCATACTTTGATATCTAAATGTAACCATGAAAGAAAGAGATTAACATTTAATTGATTTATTGAATAATTTCACTAAAATTCTATTTTCATAACCTCAGCAGTTAATTCTGTGTACATTCTATTGTTTTGTAATACAACTTAAAAGTGGCTATTAATTTAAGTGAGCACTTTATAAGCTAGTCATGTACTTGGAAGTTATTTGTAACTATGATTTAGTATTTAATTTATTCGAATGTCTATGTAATGAAGCCTGTTGCTTCTTGTACCAGTTTATACAACTAGAGTATATTGGAAGACTTCAGTCAAAACGTGTTTTCCCTAACCATATACAATGTCCTGTACGATAAGTAAAACGTGTTTTTCTCATGTATCACACTTTCATACAATATTTAATGTAAGGTTTTAATTTTTTTGCGAAATCGCAAGTGTTTTGTGTATTAGATTCAATTCATTAAACATTACCCATTTTTTTGTACATTTGGCTGTACAAAGCAATGTTTCCTTGAAGGCCGATGGTACTGCTCGGGGACTCAAACAATTGATGCAGTGTACTCTGAACTTATCACCTAATACTTGAAAGCTGATTGTTTTATTCACCAAACATATAAAATATTGTATCGAACTGATCAGAGTGTATTTATCAAGTTTATAGAGTTGAAGTCTAACTGTTCCTTTTAAGTATAGGGATTTTATGAAGGCTATTATTTTCACAGCTGAAATCATGAACTGATCATTAGCTAAACCATTATTAAGTATCTTGAAGTACTGGACGGCCGTTTCATCTCAGTGTAGTTTAATCCATGTAGGGTGTGAAACAGTTATCCCTTGAAGTAATAGATGAACGGTTGCGCAACATCATGGATAGATTTAAGCCAGATATTCACACCACTGGATGCTGACCCAGTGGTCTACAGTGTGGGCGTTCTCGTGCGAGACCGAAGGTTACCGGTCTGGTTTCTGTACGAGGGATCATGGATGGGTACTAGTGAGGAGTCACTTACAGCGACACAATAACCATCCAGTGTTTCGGTGTCCCTCTTTAAGTTTGCCAGTATCTTAAATGATGAAATTAGATGGACGCAAACAAATAGCTTATACTTCATTTCCATATAATATTTTGTTTAGTCATGAAATTATCGAGTATTCATTAGGATGAGTCATTTTTTCAGAGTGTACATTCCATTTTGTCTTTTTGATTGACATTCTTTGAGAAATTCAACCCTAAAACAACAATACGAAGCAGAATCAAACAGCTGTTCGTCTATTTATTTGTACTACATTATATTATTGATTGATTGATTTCCATTTTTTTTGCGAAGTTATAGTGTCTTTCACTTTCTAGATTAACAACAGATAATCTTTAAATATTTGAACTTTTAACGACTACACACACACATCTTTTCTAACGAAACCACTTTCAATCCAATATCTAACTTCATATAGGTTGAATGACTGAAGAAGTTAGCTTGGAACGTTTTTTTAAGGGCGGGTGTTTATTTTCTGCATTCAATCAATGGTTGTTTGTTATTACGTGTAATTGGAAGGAATGTTAATGTAGATTGAGAAGTTACAAATTGTGTATGAACATAATGATTATTTTGTCATTTGAAATTTAAAAAAATCCTCAATATATTTTAACACAAAGTACACTAGTATATATACATATATATGTATTTTTTTTCCACTTTTGTTATCTACTGCTTAAAATAATAAATCTATACAAAAAATTTTTAGAAATATTTTTGTTCAATTTAGTAAATTGTATCATTCAATCACAAATTATGATTCATTCGATTTCTCTCTCAGTCTCGCTACTTTCAATTTCGCACACAGATAGATGTACACATAGAGAAATATGTACTTTGTATATTTGCGCGTCTGTTTGCATTTTATTCCTATATGATAACCAGTAGGTACACACACACACACACACATTACAAAAACAATATCCATCCAAGATATTTGTACTGTTTTTTTTCTACCTCTTTTAACATTCCAGATATTTTTTCCTGTCTAACCATATATCTTTCTGGTGTTTTAGTTAAAGAAAAATCGATTGAAAAGGCACCGTCTACTTAACTTAAGTGAAAAAAAGGATCATTATGGGAAGGTCTTATCAACGTCAGTGATCTGAACTGTGAATAGGAATTGAATAATTATTGATGAGTGAATCTTGTTTAACACAGAGTTTTACTCATATCTTTTAAATTGGTCTAAAATAGGAAATATCAAATTGCCATTGCATTCTAATTGATTGGATTTCAGATTATGGCTAGGATGATAACACCTACTCGTAACTAAGGCATTAGCTTGCATTCGATATTAGCTTGGTCAACTAATAAAACAAGTTTCTTTTTCATTGACTATCAATGAATAAATACAGTTTATGCAATTCCATAATTGATACTTTAAATGAATAAAGTTGTTCGTTCTTTTTTTTAAACTGTTAAAAATTTAATTATTAATTTACTCTGTAAATTACATCATAATTTCTTAGGTAGGTTAGTATTTTTCTTTTTTCCGAAACTGACTCATAGAAATTGTTGATTCATGTAATCTGGTCGTATTTGAATTATGAAATATGTTGGGATTAACAGTTATGTGTGTTGCGGAAATTGCATCAGAAATCAAATTTGATTAGAAATTCACATATAACATCGAGATATTGAACGGATTTAACTTCAGCATGAAACTTCTCAACAGTGTGTACCCACAACCCCACTGAGGATTAAACGCATGAACTGCAGGTATCAAGTCAGGTGTTTAACCACTGAACTAGAATCCAATGGTTCACATACGTATTACCAACAATTCGCGACATTTCACAACTAGATTCTATTACCATTAGAGGGCAACCTCAAAACACTTCGCATGGTTGAAATCAGCCGGTCAAGGTTTCTATCAAACACAGCTGTCCAGTGACTCCACGTTTTTGCTGCTTATCTGACTAAGATTAGTCCGGAACATAAACTATGAAATTCAATTGGTTCTTAAAATCTCTACAATAGTAATATATTTTCCTACGGATGAACATTGATCCAAATATAAATTATAATAAGCTACCTGGAAGTAGTTTGCAGTCGCAAATAAAATAACACCGTGCTTATAAAATGCAGTATTTAATATTGATCAGAATAGTTAAAAGACTTACAAGATTGATGTTGTTTGAAATAATGATAAATATGTACCGATGACTATAGGTAGTGGCTGAAGCAGATCCTTAATTTATTGATAAACAAACAAAGAAATGTGTTCTAACTCATTTAACCTCAACAGTATTTTTACTAACCACGTCAGTTGATACAAAAAACAAAATATTGTGTACAATTTCAAATATTAGGCTGTATTTATTAGTCAAACGAACCTAAACAGAAAGTATGAGCTGATAATTAAGAATATTATTTTTGAATTTTTCATGTGTATTTGCAAAGGCTTTTCTGATGAAGTAGAAATCCAAAGGCAGACATCAGTTGTTGATGAACACAGTATTACATAGTGTTGAAGGTTTTACATTGAAAAAAAGATACAATTTTCAAAAATGACACTTCCATTCAATAAATCTTATTACATTTGTAGGGTTTTTAATTCTGTTAACATTGATCATATATAAACAAATTCACCATAATTCTAATCCATTTTTTGCTATCTTTGTTTTACTCAAGTCGCTTAGGATTTTAAAAGAGAAAAACTTAATCTGAATTCAAATTATTTGATTAAACAAATCGTCTCTTTGTCTAATCTATAACGGATTTCTGTGAGAACATACCTTTTTATTTGAATTATGAACTTTTGAGTAATGTTAATTTTATTTAAACGTAGTGAGTAAATAATGGCATTACCGATTATCCTACTAAATAGTACCACTAGTCACATTTACTGATAGTATCATACGATGTAACAACTGTCCAGTATCATTAGTGATAATTGTCTTACTCTACAAGAGTTATTAGATTTGAATAACTTTGTTGTTTTGCTATTTTGTTCTAAAAAAAAAACTGATTAATGCTTTCAATGATAATCCATTAATTTTCTCTATTTGTTGAAAATCCAAATCAACAGGATGACTTGAAAGGTACTTTCTTGAGTGGTGCACTCACGAAAACAAGTGGAGGTCGTTTAACCCAAAGAAAATTCACGGAATCACCATGGGGACAAGTATCAGTTCAACAAGCAAACAATTTGTCAAAAAATTTCGACCAATCCTCAAAAATCGTTGGTCAAAACAATAACAATATCAAAAATAATGATAAACACTCCATAAAAAGTGGTAATTATTCTCAATGGCTAAGATCTTCAAAATCATCAGTCAGTAATAATACTTTAGACAAATTGAATGAATCTATTTATCAGACTAGTGATATAACTAATGTAAAGTCTAATTTATCAAATGAACGATATTTTAGCCAATTAACTTTACCAGTATATTCAACATTATCCAATACAAAATCACATGCATTTCATTTGAATACATCCGGAGAATTCAATGTTTCTGAGAGTACATCAAACAAATTCGCTTCAATCAAAGGTATTCAGTCTTTGTTTAAAATACCATTCAAAAGAAAAGCAAGTACACCTGGACCAAATGTTCAGTGTGTAGGACATCCGTTAAAATCTCATGGACGTTCGGCTAGTTTAGCTCAATTGCATACATCGAGTGAAAATCCACCTATTATATCTGTATCAAACGATCAATTACATAAAAGTACTAATAAGTTAAATGTACCATATATTAAACCTTTACTACTTAAAGAATCATCGAAATTTTGAAATTTATAAATCCCTGATATTATTATATTTTTACCAAAAAATAAAAATCTTTAATAAACGTTCATATAACAAATTGTAACTGTCTGTTTTAATTTTTACGTTCAGGCCTAATCTCTACTGGTAATCTTTCATTGCGCAAATATATAATCAGCATAGACAGTTTTTAAAGAAAACCAATGTGTGTAAAAATATTGTTTTTCATTCACACATTTTGAATATAAAATGAAAATCCTTGTAAAAAGAAAGAAATTTTTGTAGTAACAACACTTTTAAGAGGACTGACTTATCACTATCGGACAAAAGTTTTCGATCAATACATAAATATATGTTATTGATATATTTGATCATCTGATATGGTCTTTAGAGAAACTTAAGGAATTCATGAACTAGGATCAGTCTGCTGAATATATATGATGATATATCAGGTTATGTGATTAATTCATTTACTTTCCAGAAGTGACACTAGTTCTGAATATTTTACTTAGTATCTGAGATACTGATGCTAATTTATTTACCATAGACATTTTAGCTACTTATTAGTAGTTCGATGATAATTGTGAAATATTTCGGACATTGAGAATACAAAAGCCGTTTGTCTACTGAGAATGTATAAGCAACAGAATGAAATATAAAGACAAACACTAGATGTGTATATGAAATTTCGCCACAAATGGTTGAGAATTGTTGGTATTACCTTATTCAGTTTTGTAACTATTATCCTAACCTTTTCACCAGTTATGTGTAAGAAGATCAAATATTGTTCATCCTACATATAGCTTTACTTTTTATTCACATTGGATTTAGGTCAATCTAACAAGTGCATTCATTAACTGTCATAATAACACATAACTACTGATGTAGAAGTGAAAGTTCCAACAAAGGATTACCCCACGGTAGGTGCGTTTCGTTACTCTTTTCTAACAGTTCAATTAGAGCATTTCGAAATATCGTTGTTTACCGATGCAGGAGCTTTACCGTCAATGTATAATACATGTATAACCATATTTTTTGGATAAATATTAAGTTAAAGCTTAACACCCACATTGTTTCTTACTCAGAATTGTAATATCTCTAAACTAAATTGCATTTCAATGATTCATTCATGTAACCGCAAACATAAATTACTATTACCTTAATCATAACCAAAATACTTTGTATTGTTACAAAGACAATGAACTGAGTCAATTTTAAACACATGTTTTCTGTCTTAATTATTATTTACGTACCATTGTTCACATATGTAAATAAGTGCAAGTTTGTTCAACCATTGATGGTGCCAAAACCCTGGTAATTCACAAAGTGTAATACAATATTTTATAGAATAAAGGGTAACATAATGAATTCATCGTATTCCATAAATATTGTCATTCCTGCTTTGTTTAAATTACCAATAATTTTCAACCCATACATTTTTTATATCAATAATTCACCAAATTAAACGGACACATTTTTATCTACTTAGATGGATATGAAAACAGTAGTTGCAGTTAATATTAACTTCGCTTGTTTTTATTACAGCTTAGTTTTTTAAATATTTTGTATGGTTAGGTATAACGAAAATAAGAAAAGAAAAGAACACGGAAGTGAGTGTCATTTTCTATCGAAATATTCTTTAGTACTTCAGTAAATGAGGTTGGTTAAGGCTAACCACTAATAATGAAACTATAAATAGTGATGAACAAACACAGAACAATTATACAATGAAGATGAAATTAAAATTTCTTTCCGGCTTCTAATTGTTCTTTCATTTAGTTACAACTATGCACACAGTATTGACTCGTCTTTGTCTAACACGTACCTGTTTTACACATTATTGCATTAGTTAATGAGATAATTCCTTAACATCATGAACTGATCAGTGTTAGACGATCTTTTAGAAGCCTGAAAGCACTGAACTGCAGTTACGCAACCACAACCTAACACTCAGGAATCCAGTACAGGGTCTTTAGTCCCGTGCGCGAAATTCTAACCTCTGTATCAGTAAGGCGGCATCCAACAGTGTTAATGCTTAACTTCAAAAAAACCCACAATAGTGCATGAACACCATCTCTTATCTTCAGTAGTTAACTGCCTCACACCCGGAAAGGTTGAACTCTGTCGATTCATAATTCCAATGGATTTCAACAATTTTCACAACCCTGTAGTAATAAAGAGATAATTGTTTAGAGAAAAACTTAATGCATTACTTGACTTCACCGAGTCTTAATTCTATGAGCCAAACACATATTTACTTACTGACGCCCAATGGAGCATTGGCCGCCGACTATTATTCTCCAACTTACTCTGTCTTGGGCTTCCGTTTCCAGTTCTGTTCAATTTTTGTTCATTCTTCTCATGTCTGTCTCCATTTCTCGACGTTATGTGTATGAGCCGAACAGCTTGAATTAAAAATGATTTTGATTTAAGAGAGTAATGTGTGGAAAGATGAATGGAAACATTTAAAACTAGTTTATTCATTCAGTAAAAATCAACATAAAACACTCAAGATTGAACTTGTGGATTTTACTTGTGAAAATGAATATTTACGATCTGAAATGCTTGTAATGCACACAGTCTGCATACATTAAAGTAAAATGCAAAATTTGATATAAAAAAATATTTTATAACAAGTAGGTTATAATCGTAATTTTTTTTAGTTATTTAAAGGTTTTGCAAATGACTGAGGAATCAAAACTCAAGAATCATGAAGTGTTTATATAAGTGATCTTGCCTAATCGTACTAAGGTTGTATCATTGTGTTATTAAATCCATGAAGTAATCACATAGAATTAGATAGTTAAAGTTGTTAATGTTATTATATTTTCTGAACAACACAGCTTTCATTTTCACCGTTCTGACAAAGATAACCAATCACATCTAGGATGTTGAAGTTCCGGGTCTAAAAATGCCGGAGAGGTTCCTGTAGTACTCGAAGATATTCGCTATCAAGAGATCGACCAAACCCCCTAATGAAAAAAGTCAATCAACCATATGGTCAAAACTCAACACAAAAATAAACAAAATCAATAGAGAGCACGAAGATAACTAACCACGCACAACGCCATCAAAACCAAACGACTTAGCGGTGCGGAACGATTGAAATGCTTAATTCCATACGAAATAGGCATCAATATTATGATCCAAAGCAGTAAATAATGCTCTTTAATCAAACTATCTCTATTGCAACAATCATCTAAGCTTTCAGCTTGTCTATGAATCTTCCTCATCATGTCCTAGGATCCACCTATATTTTATGTAGCCAAAATAGACATGTAAACAGAAATATATGTAAAATTAAATCGTTCATTGATTGGGTCATTGTATTTACCTTATTCAATGAAGTGGCAAAACATAATTATTTTTAGTATGCTGTCATCAATTTTTAGTTTTATTTATTTCGTGGAATAGACAGACAGACAGACAGATACAACGCAGAACTTCGTACATAAGTACATTAGTTCAGGTTGCCACACCACGTCATCACAGAGACGTAACTGTCAATTCATATCCAAGAGTATTAGTGACAGTAGAATTATTAGCAGTAATGGAGATTAGGGAGCGAAGATATAATTCGAAAGTGTAATTCAGTGAGATAAATTTGTAAAGAGAAAGATAGAGATTATGAGGAATTCAGAAGGTTAGAATTAAAAAGCACACAAAGAGTGGATGCACCTGCGCCATTGCAAACGATTCTGAGCCATGTCGTTCAAGGTCTCTAACCATTGATGACTTTCGTCTCGCGGACCCCAACCAGGTAGCCTACATCTACCAACATGACTCAGTCCACTTGTCAGTGACTTCATGGATTTGTGCCATGTTTTGGTCTGGCCGCCCCTAACTTTCTTCCAACCTATTCCTACACCACAAAACATAGCTCGTCGAGGCAGTCGGTGGTTAGGCATTCGTAACACATGTCCCAACCACCTCAACTGATGAAGTTTCACCACTTCATCGATTGATCTGCCATCCTTACCTAGTACTCGTTTCCTAACGACAGCATTGCTTACTCGGTTGTCCCACGATATACGAGCAATGCTTCGGAGACATCTATGATCGGATACTAGTAACCTACGAATGTCCTCTAATCTTAACGGCCATGTTTCGCATCCGTACTGCTGCGCAGTACACTCGTCCTTTGGTTAGCAAGCGGATATCTCGCATTTCGTGGAATAGATGAAATTATATTAATCAAGGGTAATTTATCTAGGAAACTTTGTTTTAATTCACGTTTCATTCCAGTCGGTTCTACAGTGAAATGATGAAGAAGAAATTCATAAGATCATCGGCAAAACTTACTTTGTGTTGTTTTTAATTTATGCACAAATCTTTTAGGTATTCATTGTATTTTGAGAAAAATTTTCTACTTGAAATATATTTCTGCATTTTTTTCATTCAACTTGGGATTTTAGTCATAAGGATAGTAGTATGAAATTTCAAAATGGACTTCCGGTGAAAGTTATCCTACTTTGAAGATCTTTCTTTGTTTAAATTAGACAGAATTGTTTGGCGGACACTCAAAAGACTTGTGAGTGAAGCACATTCACTAATAATCTTTGCTAAAAATTAAGTTATGCACGTAAGTGGGGTTTTTCACTTTTAATCAGTTTAATTGATTAGTTTTGATATAAAGTAGTTGGAGGCCATCAAAAGTACGTCATTTGTGCCCATCTTACCTACAAGATTCGAATTATAAATTGTTGAAGTGTCAACTAAGAGTGAACCAGATTTTATTTACCCAAATTCTTTTTAGTTCATGAACCTTTGTATGCATTAATGATGATGGAATCAAGTTTCAATGCTTAATATGGTACATTGAAAATATGTTTTCAAGAGTGTAATGCATTTTGTGTACGATAAATAACACTCCTAGCTTTCTTAATCTGATTAACTTTATCATGTAAAGTTCAGTTCAGAATGAAATGCATCGAGTTTTTCTGGACTTTCTGATGTTGTATTTTGAGTGGAATGTTAAAAAATCTTAATAGTTCAATCGAATCCATAACTTCCCTAATAATAGCTGAATTAAATTGAATCTTTTTTTCGATGAATCTAGTTTTTTTCCAAAACTAAACTATTGTTCATTCAAATCGCTGATATAACTATTACCATCTGATGTCCGATAATTGTGCTACTTAATAAGAATGAATGCGGAAACTAATGTTCACTGAATAAAATTGTGAAAAATATCATAGTCACCAGAAAATATAAAATTTCAGATTGTAGCAAGTAATGTATTATGGAACATTTGTTGGGTCATATTTGGGATGGATAATCTACCAAACGAAGATAATTTACTGTATAAAAATCGAAAATTTTATTTTTTACTTCTAATAA